CACGCCCAAAGTGTTGAGTACCGTCTGAGAGGGCCTTCAATGGCAGCTTCATTCTGTTAGGGGCAGTTTGGGAGGGTTGAAAGAAGTTAGCTAAATGGGTTTTGCTTCATCAGAAGATGTTCTCAATACACGGCAGAGATGTGATGTGGGACGCCCCCTTGTGGGGTGCAGATCTAAACTCCTACAATAAGAAACAAGTCGTTCAAAGAGGCTGAAGTGGACAACCCCTCAAATGGAGTTCACATTGTCTTCCCACTAAGTGCACCCCACAATAGATCACAACCATTCATTGAGACATCTCCACATGACAAGTACAAATGATGTTCCCAATGCATGCTGAGATGTATTGTGGGGTTTACTTTTGTGTTCTCGAGATTTTTCACCATATATATCTTTAGGGGTGCAAGTCAGGCAGGTTGGGTTGGGTTTACGGTCAACCTAGGCCCAACCCTAACATTTGGTCTTAAGGCCTGAGGTCAAGCCCAACCTGCATTGTAATTTGATGCATTCGGATTGGGCTCAGGCTCATGTCAAGCTCATGTCAGGCTCGGGTTGGTCAATGAATTTGTTTTAAAATTGTATACGTATGTATATATTTTATGTAAATATGTATACAAGTATGTAGAGGAGGATCCAACTATATTGGTGGGCCCCCCCCACACACACACCAAAAAAAAACTTGAAAAACCTGCATTGTAATTTGATGCATTCGGATTGGGCTCAGGCTCATGTCAGGCTCGGGTTGGTCAATGAATTTGTTTACGTATGTATATATTTTATGTAAATATGTATACAAGTATGTAGAGGAGGATCCAACTATATTGGTGCCCCCCCCCCCCACACACACACACACCAAAAAAAACTTGAAAAGTCCCACTAAAATGTTAAGATCACTCTCTCTCTCTCTCTCTCTCTCTCTCTCTCTATATATATATATATAGGTAGGGCTTAGGTTTAAAGCTAGGCCCAGGCCCTACCCGAAATTAAAAAACCCGAACCCAACCCAAGGACCAAAAATTCAAACCTATCTCGTGCAAAAATTTGAGCTCGGGTTGGACCTGTCCAAGTTGCACCCCTATGTGGAACCCACCTTAGAAATCCAGAAGCCACTTGTGCTTCAGCCCTTCCTAATGGGCATTAGGCTAAGTAGTGAGGGCTGTTTGGGATGGTTTTCAGGTGGCTTTGCTGTGGCTTTAACTTTCCAAGGTGGGAAGGCTGAAGCATAGCGGCTTCTGGCTTTCCCAGGTAAGCCCACCTGCACTTGGGCAAATTAGTCTATGATCAATGTTTAATGAGAAACCCGAAAAAGCCCAAATATGGTATGGTTCAGCCAAAGAAAGGGGTTTTCACTAAAGTTTCTTTCAAATAGTTTGTACAGAGGGGTTCAATTAGAGTTTCAACCCTCCCAAGCGAGCTCTGAATCATTAAGTGAATTGCTAATAAAACTTCATTTTGGAAAGAGTGCAAATGCCGGTTCAATGCATATATGCACTTTGATTCAATTTAGATAGTTTGGTGAGAATGCAGTGATAGTATTCATAGATTTTGAGACATATTTGCACCCAAAATAAGAGCAAATTAAAATTAATGTAAATTTTACATTCAAAGTTGATCAATGTTAAAAAAAAGTATATTTTAAACTTGAAATTCTTTTTTACATCCATTATGATTAAAAATTATTTAGTAAGAAAATAAATTTGTCAATGCAAAACTAAATCAATTTCGCATTTGCATGAACTAAAATTAAAATACACTCTACGTATTTGTATTTATACCATACTTGCACTATTCCCAAATGAAGCCTAAACCATTATTGGCAAATCTGTATGGTGTATATATTCACTTCACTAAGTGACATCGTTTGTCATATGAAGACCATATTGGAAGCTTCCTACACAGACCCACCTATTTATGTTGTTGCATGAAAGTATTTGATGCTTTATATATCCATGATGTTCATCAAATTGAGGATGTTTTGGTACTATGATTTCCTAGAGTAAATCCATTATATTGGGCCCCATTTTGTTGTGGTTGATGTCAAATGTTTTGAGCCACACCGCACTCCATGTGATCTTCCTGTGTAACATGTCTTCGAATCATGTACATCACCCCTTTTTTTGACTGAAAAATAAGGTAGAATGTTAATGCAAGTTCGTGGGATATACTTACTTGTTTTTTCACTTTTTTTTTTTTTCTGATTTTGTTCGCGGTGCAATTTTATTTGCATTGGTACGGATGTATGATTGCAAATGAAAAGAATAAACTTACACTATAATCTAACAAAAATAAAGTATAATTTGAAATAAGAATAAATAAAAAATTGCACTGCCTTATTTTTGCATCACTGCAAAATAGATTTACACTACAACCAAATGCAATCTAATGTTTTATCACAACTAGGGGTGCTTATAGTTCGGTACATTAGTCTTTTTTCCCTATCGAATTGGTCCTTCGGTTTTTGGAAAGTTGTGAATCAAAACAAATCAATTAATCGATTGATCGGTTTGATTTTCGACTAGCTCAGTTCTTTAGATTTTTGCTTTTTTTATATATATATATTTATAATATTATAAATAAATATATAATATAAATACTAGAAATATTAGATTATAAATAATATATAATACCGAACCGAAACTGAACTGCCCAATTCGGTTAACAATATTTTTCGGTTCGGTTCCTTTGGTTTGGTTTGCAGGTTTTGGTCTCTTATGAGCACTACCCCTAATCACACCCATTCAAGGTTTTAAAAGATGGTCTTATTTTACATATGCAACAAGGTATTTTGAGCTATTATTTTCTATAAAGAGGAAATAGGGATCCATTGCAAGCTTATTAAGAGAGTGTTTGCAATTTGCGAACATGGCAAACACCTCCCTAACCCTAAATGATTTTTTTTTTTTTTTGAAAGCAACATGGTTATTCATAAAATCATGGCATCTGGTGTTTGATTTATAAATGGACACAATAGTAATTAATTATCAAGGATCGAAGTAACATAATGAAAGAGACCCAATCTAGTAGATCAATTGGGCCAAGCATTAGTTGGCCATAAAGAGTATGGCCATCCGCTGGATGATTCAGGAAGTACAAATTCTGATTCACTTTTATTTAATTTCGTATTTTACTTTGGCCTCAATTTCTATTTTATTTCATCTGCTTTGCAACATCAACAAAACAAAACATAAAACTAAAATACAGATATGCACTCTTGTACTTTTGCATCAGTTCAAATGAAATTGAACCGCAGACAGACTTTGCCTATTGAGATACATTGCATAATTTATTCTTGAAAGCAAACGGTAAAGAATTGCACACCTCAATGAGAGAACGGTCGTGGAATCATTACTTTCCTCTCCAATAGGCAGGCAAATAGCCAAAGCCAAGGTTCAGAGTAAATGAAGCCCGTAACTCCACACGCGTATTTCCAGTCACGTGGCGTAGACTGCTTGGTGCTGAGTTCTGATGTGCTACCAACAAAACCATGCATAATGGCAAACACCTACCTAACCAGGCTGTTGGGACAGTGTGGGGAGTGTTCTATTGATAGCAGATGCCTATCTCTTGGTGTTTGCTACAGGGATGGGAGTAAGTGGGTTTGGGGAGGGATTTCATAAATTATTCTAGACTCTATTTTATATATCCAAACGCTTCAGATCCTATTCCCCCTGCATTTTAGGGTGTAATGGATCGGATTGGCTGATTGAGTTATCCATATCTAATTTTTTATTATTAGTAATAAATAAATAAAATAGTATGAATAAACATCAAAAATTTTAATTATTTGATTCAACAAGTAAAGAAATACAACTATCAATTATACTTTATCTAAAATTCAAAATATTATTACATTTAATAATTATTACATAAAGTTCATATGACTCCCAACAATATACAGGTCCATCTTACCCTATTCATATGAATTATAAAACTCCAAAACCCGATCTTGCCCTAAAAGTTAATTTTCAACATCAGGGAGCTCACATCTGTACTCCATAAGAGGGCACCCCACAACATTCCACAACACATCTCTGCTATGTATTGAGAATATTTCTTGGTGATGGTATCAGAATCAATTATGCCATTATTGGAAAATGTTTCCAATAGACGGTGGGGATATGCTGGAGAACGTTGTGGGCCCATTGTAGGGTGCAGATGTGAACTCAAGAAAACCCTCCCTTCTTGGGGTGAATAGAATCAGGTGAGATCACATCTATATCTCATAGAGCGCTCTCCATAGCACATTCCAACCCTATATTGAAAATCATCAAACCTTTAAATTCAGATCTGTACTTCATAGGGGGTGTTTCACAACACATCCCCATCGTATGTTGAGAATATCACAACGTTCCACAACATCTAGATGTTCCTAATACATGGCGGCGATATGCGGGACATTGTGGGGCGCAGATATAAACTCGCCGGATAGGATAAATACTGCCACCCTAGTTTGCTGTAAACGACTAAGGAGGGCGAAGAATGCCACCACTGGATCCAATCGTGCAAAAAGCTAATCGTCAAGCTGTCTTTTGGAATTGGTGACCGAGCTGAATCACGAGCAAAGAGACGCTCCCACTGACAACCTCCATCACACCATGGAACTTAAGAGGGAAGGACCCACTCTTATATCCAATCAGACTCATTCATCTAAGAAGAAGATAGTCCAGCCCTACGACCACTTCCACGCACTTTTTTGTATCGATCTAACGGTTGAAATCAATCAGTCGACCTCATTGGTCACCGTCGCTCCTCGCAGTGGGACGGACCACTCGCGGAGATTGTCGCGGTCCACCCCTGTGACGTCAACTCGTCAAGATCACAGCATTTGGAGCGTACGACAGTCGGTCATGGGGTCCGAAGCTGCTGCTGCAAACGCGGGAACAAGACAAACCCCCTCTAAATTCTTTTTCAATTAAAAAATAAATAAAAAAAGATGTCTTTATTATTCAGATTTAGCGGCGAAAATGCTGGTTTTGAGGTTTTCTACTTTTCTTCCTCCAATTTAAAGCGGCTCGTTTCAGAAATCAGCTCAAGCCACTCTCGATCTTCAAAGAATCTTTTACTTTAGATTAGAAGTCTGAGAAGCGAGAACCCGAGAAGGCTGAAGCTGTTGTTGAGCAGGGTCGATTTGGAGCCGAGCTAAGCTAAGCTAATCCATCTAACTTTACCCAGATTCTCTGTCATTCACTGAAAGCACCCACTTGAAATTAGTTTAGTGAGAGCACACACTCGCTTTATCTCTTTTGCAAAACAGGAAAAGGATTTATGAATTACGATGGCAAAAGAAAAATAAGGGAAAAAAAATAAAAGAATCTGCAACCCTTTTCATACTCCCCCAGAGAGCTACTGCTATCTCTTCCACTTAAGTTAAAGGTTAAAGCTTCAATTTTTGTTCTCCTTTACTCTTTCTCTCTGCGTTCTCGCCAAAGCTAGCTTTTCGAGCTGCTAAGTGCTAACCTCTGTCATTCGCTCTCTCTTGCCTTGGTGAGGACTGAGGACAGATTCAAGGAGAGAGAGAGAGAGAGAGAGAGAGAGAGATATGAGAGGTCCTCTGGGGGCAGTCATAGGAAGGTACCCTTCAAGTGATGGACAATCCGAGGTGGGTGGGATCATCAAACACAACAGGAAATGCAGAGATATGGTTGCTCTCATTTTCTTTATTGGTTTCTGGATAGGAATGATCGTTAATATCAGCTTCGCGTACAATCGAGGAAACCCATTAAGGTAAAGCTAAATGCTACCCATATCATGTACTTCGTGATTCCCCAAATGGGTGCCTGATCTTCTCGCATATTTTGTTTTTTAAGCACTTTAGAGGTTGCGTTTTGTTCTCTCATTCTATCTCCATCAGCTTTGAGGTGTCTTACTTATTAAGGCATAAGTTTTTTGTTTTTTTTGTTTTTTGTTTTTGCTTTAAGTTTGCTACTACTTTTGTAGATTTGTCTCTTGGGCATTTTGATTGATTTTGCTTATGTAAAGGTAACATTTTGTGGGAGTGTTGGTCCTTTGCAGTCTGTCTATTTCAATATGGAGGTGCTTTCAAGGTAATTTTTTACTTTCTGAGTTTTTGTATAATGGGACTTGGGGGGTTAGTGCAGAGATTTCTAAGATTCTAGTTGTTGAAAGTGAATTTTCTTGTCTGCAAGATCAAGAAACAGAGCGTTGGGTTTTGGGTTAGTGACAAATTTAAGCGGTGGCTCCAATTCTAACTTTTGGGGGCTTCTATCTAGTTGGGTGGTGGACTTCTCAACTTTGAAGGCCTTAAGCAGTGCATAAGAGTTCTGGGTTTTTGAATACTCGTTTTAGTACAAAGCACAACTTTGTTGATTATATGGGGTATTCGGAGGTAATTTTGAGTTCTAATGATTTGAAGGCCTGATGTGTGTGGTTAGTTATCTGGCTGGTTTTTTGATACTCTTTGTAGAGACAAGTGTCTGATATCTCCGATCAGTCCTTGGATAGTTTGTTGTCCATATAATTCTATCTATATGGTTCTTTTACTTCTGGTTTTCTGCAGGCTACTCATTCTATGTTTTCCTCTTTTTCTCTCATTGTACAAAACAAGATGGAGGTCTTTCTCAAAGGCTGGGCTGAAGTTTCTGTTGGCATGTGAAAACTTGAAATATGATTCGTTTTAATCTCTTTAGCTCTTATGTTAGTTGCTTAGTTTTCCTGCATTATACTCTCAGCAGAATTGCAGTCATAACCATTAAATAATCGATCCTGCAAATGGAGAATTGGATATGTCACACGATTTTGCATTTCATAAACCAAGGTTCTGTGGTTCCTGAATTCCTCAGCACAGATTCTTTGTTGATCAACTTTGTTTCCCGGGTTGAAAGCTATTATGTGACTGTATTTGGGCAGGGTCCATGTAGTTTGGTAACTTTGATTTTGTTTCTCAACAAATGAGCAATCTATCTTCAAAACAAGGAAAGTTTAAACGTATATTGAAGTTTCACAAAAGAAATTTGTAATCAGAGGCTTCAGAATGTAGTAAGAGGCCAAACTTGAGGTATGACGTATGATTAAATGTTGTGCAAATTGGAAGAAGAGAAAGTGAGAACTATTCAATAAGGGAAAAAGTTGAAGAGAATAGTGCCCACAAACTGGGGTTAGATGGATACAGGCATGTTTTTGAGTGATGTGGCCAAATGCCCAAATCAAACCAATTAAATTGAAGGGAGTAAAGAATATAAGTTTCTATACTATTCATCCTTTATGGGATAGAGTATTAGGAAACTAGGAGCTATACCTGCAATAAAATGATCATAACTGAGACCAAGGTGTTGAGATAGATGAGCAGAAGGAATAGGATGGACAAAATAAGGAATTCGTTTGAGGAAGCTTAAAGGACAGCTCCAATGGGTGAACAAGAGTGTGATTTTGTTTAGCATATGCAAGAAGGATAAATGACATCATTCAAGAGTTAAAGACTATAGCAATAAAAGCTTCAAGTATTTGTATGTTTTGGTGGAAGATATGGTTCCATATAGAAGGGTGATGACAAAATAGAAATTTCCACCCCCTTGACTTGTTGATTAAGACTTCAGAAACTTGGTTTGAACATGTTTTAGTATTTTCTCTTTGTTTGGGTGAAATTTCTTGATCATGAGATCATTTGAATGATTTTTAGGACTATAAGGTTCTCTATTCTAGGCGATTTTCCCACCTTAGTTTCTTTCACATTGATTAGTGGTGAAGAGGAAGAAGATTAATCAAGGTTTGTGCTTTGAATATAAAAGGCTTATTTTTAAATTTTAGTATGTTTGCAGAGTTGCCAATATTTATCAATATATATGATAATCTTTTTGATTCATTTCAACTTTATGCACATGTTCATGTATATTATACATCTTTTTTGTTAATATGAAAAATTAAATTTTGTGGATCTTTGCAGGCTAACATATGGCCTAGACTACAAAGGAAATGTTTGTGGAGACAAGCATGCTAATCCCAATTTACGTGAATTGGACCTCAGATACTTTTTAAATCCCAACCAGGTTTATGAAGCTGGCACGAAGAACAGCCAATTTAAGTTAGCAAATGCCAGGACCATCTGCTTGATGGATTGCCCTATCCCATCTGAAGATTCTCTGAATTGGGTTTGCGATTACCCAGAGGGTGATATTCGTATCTCAATGGATGACTGGATTGATAGAAACTATGATTATTTTGAGTTCCTTACACCAGACATGAGGAATACCTCCCTTCAGCTGCAAGGTCCTTGTTACCCTGTCATATTTCCAAGTGTGAATGGTAAGACAGAGATCTTATTCTGTTCTATATATGTGGAAAAAGTGCTCATCTGTATGGGCTGGCATACATTCATCCACAGTTCATGAATCTCCTTGTTGGGGCAGGGGGATTTCTATTTATCTAATTATTTTATATGTTTCCATTTCCTTTCCAGTATATTGGAGCTGTCAATATATTGCACGTGCATCAAACATGTCTTTGCGGCATTGGCATGAGATGGCTGGAGTAAATATCAATGAAGACATTATAATAGATAAATCCATTCACAGATCCATCAATTCTCGATCTGCCGCCCTAAAGGTTGGGAACTTCTTAATCTTCTTTTCTTTATAGCCAACTTTGACACTGATGGTATTGTAATGGACATAAACAGAATTCTGAAATAAGAAATATGGATTTGGTATTGTTAAGAAACTTAGAAAGTAAATAATAACAAACCACATGAAGAAATAGGAATATAGGATTTAGCATGGTTCAGCATGATCACCTATTTCCACTGTAGGTTGATAATGGATGAAGTGGCTGATCTCAATGACTTATTATGTTAATTTTAAAAACTTTTAGTGTATGATAATCAACCCAACTTAGTTTTGGCCATTAAGGAGTTACAACCTCCTTAATAACTTATTCACTAAAAGACAAAATAATAAGCCATTCAGTTCGACAACTTCAGCTGTTATCAACTGGCCCCACTCTCTTATAAGTTATAAGTCAGACACTGCAAGACTATACTTTAAATAATCCCATATCAGATGGCTTCAGAGGCAAGCCATTTACAGATAAACCATGTATTCTGCACTTAGTGATTTTCTAATCTTAATGAATTTCTCACCATTAATAAAAACAAAGCCCCCGCATAAACCCAAATTACAATAATACCTTAATAACATAAGTACAGAAGTGCCGAACCATACTTCAATACTTGATTATTGTATTCTTCAGAACACATGCATATTCTAACAGAGATTATTCAAGGTCCCATTTTTTCACTGTAAGGGGACATTTTTTTGTCCAATCTAGAATGTTTCGGTTATAATTTTTGCTCTTTTAAGGCCAACACTTTGTTTTATGCCTTGGTTGGAGGCATAATCTCCTCCTACTCAATACATCTAATAGGAGTAGCAGATAGCATCAGTTTTGTAGGTATTGTATTTTCAAATTACTAAAGCCACTTCACATGCATATGTCCAATAGGTTGTTGAAGCAATTAAGAATCTGTGTTATTTCTGAAAATGTGATTTTGTGGATTGATGGCACCACAAAGAAAGAGAAAAAAATAACAGAAGAAACAAACATGCAAAACACAAGGATTTAATGTGGTTCAGCAGATTGCCTACAGCTATGTGCAAAGACAAATAAAGAAATCCACAAAGGGTACAACAATGTCAATGAAAACTTCTCTTTCCAAGATGATGCTTTCTCTCCAAGCCATGTTTTTCCCAGGAGAAACACTCTTTTGACACTGATCTTATGAAAAGGATCCCTACACCAAACACTAAGAACTATGGGAGTGGGATACAAATTGTATCATTGCCATCATCATCCAAGACTTGGCCCTTCAAGGAATCACTCAACCTAAAAGCTTAAGCTGTTATGTGAGGTCCCTGAATAGGGTTTTATTCTCTAACACACCCACTCATGTGAAAGTCTATTGGGCTTGAAGCGTGGACAAGCACAGGCCCACCCATACCTTGTGCTGAAATTTAATTAATTATAATGTAGGCGGCGGAGATCAAACTCCAGACTACTTGGTCAAACAGATTCTGATATCATCTCAAGGAACTGTTCAACCCAAAAGCTTAAACTGTTAGGTTGAACAGTTCCTTGACAATCCAACTATATGGGGTGACTACATGAATCCTATTTCGCCATTCTGTTCAGTTTAAAGCCTATCCATTTGTTAAATTATTGGCACTTAAATCATTTCCTAATACTTCTACCAATGCCCTTTTTGGTCTACCCCTAGCCTGTCTAGGCCCTTCAATATGCAACAAATCACTTCTGCTTATGGGTGCTAGTGATGGTCTTCTATGCAAGTGATGAAACCATCTTAGTCCACTTTCCCTCATTTTATCACCTATTGTAACTACTCCTAGTTTCCTTTGAATGATTTCATTTCTGATCCTATTCTTCCTTGTTTTTCCACTCATCCATCTCAGCATACACATTTCTGCCACACTCATTTTTTGGACAGGTTGCTTATTGACTGTCCAACACTGCTCCGTACACAGCATAGCTGGCCTTACAAATTGTATAGGACCCCAAAACATATAATGCTATAACCAAGTATTACCTGGTGGAGAACCCCAAATGCTCTCAAATCCCAAAAAAATCTCTCAAAAAAGTTTCAAAACAAATTTTTATAGAATGTAAAATGATCCTTTTCCTTGTCTTACAAGAAAGCTCCAATAAAATACTTATTAGTTTCTAAATAGGAAACTGCCTAAAAGGATCATACATTACTTGAATTGAAGGCACAAATCCTAACATTTTTGGATCTTCTGGGTGGTTGTTTCTTATGACATATTGGCAGAAACCCTCTGATGGGGTCTTTTCTCATGATATTCAACTCATCAAACATTTTACCACAGAAGGAAAAAAAAGGAAAGAAAAGGAACCCCCTTCAGAACATTTATCATTTTATCTCGTATACGGCAGAGACACTTAATACTTTCAGTAATAGCTTATTATTCTGTTTTATCTATTATGTTATTTGTTTTTTTGACATACACTGCCTATCTTATATTCATTATTTCATAATTTATCATTTATCTATTATCTGCAGAGATATGTGGCAGATATTGGGAAAGCATGGCCAGTGCTGATTGTTTGTGGAGGAATCGTGCCACTGTTTTTGTCAGTTTTCTGGCTATTGATGATTCGGCATTTCGTTGCCGGAATGACATGGATAACAGTCTTCCTGTTTAATTTTCTTATAATATCAGTCACGATGTTTTACTATCTAAAAGGTCCAGTGAATTCTCTTTCATCACTTTGTGTTGTTTTCTTATAGAGTGTTTACTGTCAAATATATGGCATTGTTAAAATAGGTATATATAGTTGCCACACAGTGTTTTGGACATTGTCAATTATTCTTCAAAATTTGAGAAGTCATCTTCTTTGACACGTCCAAACTTCCATTGCCATTTAGAGCTTTAACATGATGAGATTCTGTTGTGATTCTGTTGAACCCTCACATTGTCCAGTTTTTGTATGGCCCCACCCCTATTTTTCCACTTCATTTGCAACCTTCAGGGTTGTAAGATTATATAAGCAAGGAAATATAAGTTTCTCCCCATCCATCAAAATAAATACGAGGTTCTCTCTTGTCTCCTATAACATTTTAAGTACAGTCCACCAAGCATGTAGTGCTTGTATGTCAGAAAATTGGATTGTAGAAATTGTATGATATCACTTTTCTCCTAATAATTTTATATTGAGGCAAATTATAGTGTCATTTTTGTGTTGTTCCTTTGTACAAAAATCCACCTGCAATATATGATAACTTCACCTGCTTGAGTTGGGTGAACTTCATAGAATGATGTGCACCATGTGCTTGTATGTGCTCTTCACCTTGTCTGCCAAAATGTGAAAATGAGATTGGTTATCCTTACTATCTGCCCAGTAGGTACCTATGATTTCTTCTTGCTGTTTTAGGTCCAAGTATATTTCAGATGTTGTCTTTTATAAAAGGATCAAATTCATATTATTTTGAAATATGCTTGGTCATTGCTTGAGCACCTATGAAATGACATGTGATCCTGATTTGAGTTTGATTTTCATGCTTTTAGCTGGATGGATTGGACATGATGCCATCTCCCCCATCATTGGTGAGAGTGACCCATACTATCATGTATCTGGAAGGGTATGTTCTATATTAGCTAAGTACTTGGCTAGAAATTCCTTTACCGGAAGTTATTTCACTCAACAAATCATATTTCTTTCAGGAGGAATATCACATACGTGCTGTTGCTGTTCTTATGACCGTTATAATGATTATTGCCATCCTCTCATCTATTGCCATCATTCGACGCATACTTATGGCAACATCTGTCCTAAAGGCAAGTGCGATTAAATAATTCTAGACTTGACATATGTACTCTCGATTTAACAAAGGATACTTACACATGCCAATGCTTCACATGGTAATTGGGCTCTCGTTTGTTGGTCTACTGGGATAAATTCTCTAACCATGCCTACTTTATTCTACACTTGACCATAATAATCTAATAACATAGGATTACTCACACATTACATCCTCGAAGTTAAAATTGAAAAACAAAAGATGGTTGATCAACAGTATAACCTTCAAGCCTGACATTCCATCCCCCAAATTCCTCAAAATTGAAAGTGAAGTTAATCACTCTGTGACAGACATAAGTGCAGTTGGAAGTATCCAATAATTTTAGAGTATTTGGATATTTTTGAAATCACAATATTGTCATCACAAAATGACATTGGAGAAATCTTATTTTGATTAATGACTGAAAGTTTTATTCAAAAAGGACAGAAAAAGGATAACAGAATTCAGTTTTTCTCAACCCCCTGCTATTGGGTGGATTGATGGGACCAAACATTACAGGCTGGTAGCCATAACAACGAAGACAATAATACCGAAAAAAAATGCTTGAAGAAGTCTCCTACCCCAGGAAGGACTGGCTGCAATACAATAAGGTCCTCCTAACTAGGAGTGTAATCAAAGCCAAGTTGAGTATTGGGCTACTCGAGCTTGACTCAACTCAAAAACTCAAAGCTCAAAACTCGACTCAACTCAATTATAAATAAATTAACATTACAAATATTATTGATAAATATATTAGGAAACTGGGTTATAAATTTATTTATTTAGATGTAGCTGGAATCCTCCATCAGACTCGCAAGGCCTGTTTTCCCCTTTTTTTTTTCAGGTGGCGGATAAAAAGGGGAAGGACTATGTGGAGAGGACTAAGGGCTGCAGTATGTTGGACACTTTTGGAAGAAAGAAACTCCAGGATATTCTCAGAAGCTGAGAGAGGAGCAGTAGATCTGAGGGCTATCATACATATTAGGGCGGTACAGTGGCTGAAATCTTTGGAGCTATTCACAGATTACACTGTGGATGGCATGTTGAGGAAGTGGGGTGAAA